CTCTTTATCTTGGGTTATGTGTTTCACTGTGCTTCTCATAGAGTTTTTCATGTTAATATAGTTCTTTCATGGTATCAAAGATGATGCTCTCCTCTACCTTTTCCAACCTGATGAGTGAATCCTCTAGCATGTTTTCCACCATACCAAACCCAGCCCAATTATAGTCTTCCAGTATAACAGAATCTCCCATCCCACCCTCACTCAAGTTTCTCACACCAAATCTTAAAGACATAGTGCACAAGTGGTTAACCAGCAACAACTATTCCCTATGGAAACTTCAAGTCCTTAAAATGTTAATTGCCAACAACTTCCAAGGTTTTTTCTCTGGTGAGAATATTTGACCACCAAAACAAACACTCTCTCCTACCAAGACGTCTTACCTAATCTTGAATACAGCCCTTGACAACTCATTGATTAAAATATTGTTGCAACTCACTACTAAACTATCTCAACTCAAATCCTACCCTATCTTCTCAACCTCAACACCTCTCATGACATCTAAATAACCTTGGAAAAACATTCACAACCAACAAATCGATCCCAAGTTATCCAGCTCAAAAATGAGTTCCGTAACTCCTTGAAAGATATCTCTATGACCCAACATCTCTCAAATATCAAAAACCTCATTGATCAAATCTCTGCAACAGGCTCTCATATTGACGTCGAAGATCTCATTATATACACACTCAATGGACTAACACATGCATATCAATCCTTCAAAACAGTCATTTGCACATAACTAACCCTATCAACTTCGACAACCTCTACTCCCTTTTATATAGTGAAGAAATCAACCTCTTTACCTAACCTCAAAAATATATAGAAACTTATCCTCATTCTTTGGCTCTAGCAGCTACTCACGGTCGCCATTCAAGACCTGGTCACTAGAAAATAACTCAAATAGTCTCTTCACCAACCAATAATCGTTCAACTCCCAATAACACACAACCACCCCACCAGTTCAACCAACCCACGCATGTTGGTACAACCTTCAATAGCACATGTCAACTTATCAATTTTATGGAAAAAGCTCGGACTCATTGCACTTAACTGTTGGCACCGATGCAATCTCCAATATAATTCCTCCTCAGCTTCTATGTAGCTTTCAATTCACTTCAACGGATCACTTCGATAGACTGGTACTTAGACTCTGGAGCTTTAGCTCACCTTATGGCAAACCTTTGGATCCTCCAACATCCAACTCCTTACACTGTAACTGACAACATCAACCGTTGGCAACGAACCCACCTTGCCTATCATCAACACTTGCAGTGGTCTTCTCCATACCCCACTCTCACATCGTAAGCCTTTTCTTCATAATCTATTTCATGTCCCTTTCATTTCCCACAACTTTCTTTCAATACAGAAACTTACCATTGATAACAACTGCTCCATCTCCTTTGACACTATCAGCTTCATCATTAAGGATCTAAGAACACAACAAATTATCCACCACAGTCGCAGTAGTAACGGGTTGTATCCCTTCTCTTCACCAATGTCACTCTTCTCCTACAACTCTAACTTCTCAACTCAACAACTTACAGCTATGGCACGCTCGTTTGGGTCACCTGCATCACTCAATTAATACCAAACTTGCAAGATTTTTAAAAATACCTTGTAATTCCTCTTAAGCAGTTATATACACTTCCTGCAATGTGGCAAAAAGCCACAAACTATCTTGTAGTTTACGATAATCAAATACTAATAAACCACTAGAATTAACTCACTTTGATGTTTGGGGTCCTTCCCCATTACCCTCTCTTGACGAATTTCGCTATTACGTTATATTTATTGATAATTTTTCTAAGTAGTGATGGGTCTTTCCTTTATTCAATAAATCTAAAACTTTCACAAAATTCAGCCACTTCGTTGCAGTTGCCGAAAATTACTTTAACACCAACATTAAATTCCTAATTAGATCTGATAATGACAATGAACATCTAAACAAACAAGTTCAACAATCCTGACCAACAAATGCATACAATTCCAACTCAACTGCCCATATACCCCAAAATAAATGATGTCTCTAAATGCAAACATCGTCATCTACTCGAAATCACCCACACCTTACTACATGATGCACATCTTCACTTCTCCTTTTAGATGAAGCACTCCTGATCGCCGCATATTTAATAAATTGATTGCCTTCCAAAAACATAGGCTTCAAATCTCCTTACCACATTCTTCACAAAAAGGCACCTCACTACACATTTAAAAATCTTTGGTTGCATATGCTTTACAAGGCTACGACCCTTCTCACTTAACAAACACACACTGTGTTCCACTCCCTACATCTTCATAGGATACTCCAACTCTAACCTCGACTAAAGATGTTATAACCCTCTCACTCGCAAATGACATGAAATGTCATCTTCCATGAGAAAACATTTCCCTATCAACAAACAATCAACCTACACCATCCATCTTACATCCCAACAAATACAATCCCAACCTCGCACTGCTACTCATACCGCACTCCTCCATATCAGTACCTACTAAAAAAGAACTCTCATCACCAAACACCAACGCCTCTTCTCCACAAAACTCCAACACTCCCTTATCATCTCCCAACCTGCCACCAAATAAGACTAGCATATCCCATTTTACTCCACCTCCCGCCACTTTAGTACATCCATGCAAACCAAACTTAAAATGGGACATCTCAAGCCCAAATAAATCTTCTCACTTTCCTCTCCAACCAATTTTTCTCCCACTGCAACCAGTTACTCCCAAACTTCTTGCCTCCCAGAGTAATAACATGCCATGTCAAATGAACCACTCTCTCTTCAACGACAAGAGAAATGGTCCTTAATTACACTTTCATCCAACCAACAAATTCTAGGCTATTATTGGATATACAAAACCAAACTCAAACTAGAAGGCACGGATATGAGTGTAAGTGAGCCAAGCCAGCTCGAGCTCAAACTTTTTTTTTTCAATAAAAAGTTTGATGGGTGTTTTTTTTTTCAAATAATGGTGGATTAGGTGCTTCATCATAGCTTTTTTTCTAAATAAACACATGACACAGAAGCCCAATGGCCTTTTGAGTTTGCTGGATGTTGCACGTGCGGAAGACAGATCAAACCACAAAAGATGGATTAGATCGCAGACACGTGAAAGGCGAACCAGATCGCAAACACGTGAAAGACGAACTAGATCACAAACACGTGAAAGACAGACCGGATCGTAGACACACAAAAAGCTTATGAGTGGCTCGTAAGCTCGTTTATAATGGAACAAGTCATACTTGAGTTTGAACTCAAGATTTTGCTCATGAGCCAAGCTCGAGTTAGGCTCAACTAGAGCTCATCACAACTTATTTATACCCCTAAACACAATTAACCGGTACAAAGCTCACCTCATCGACTAAGGTTTCAAATAAGAACTTGACATTGACAACTCTAACACATTTAGCCCTATCGCCCAAATGCCTACCATTCGACTCCTCACATGTACATCAACTTTACATCAAATGCTTTCTTCATGGCTCCCTCAATAAATCAGTCTACATGATTTTATTATTTCAATTCACCCTCTCTCAATCAAAATATAATTGATCCCCAAAAGATTCAATTTGTTCTCTTTCATACAAATTAACACCATAGAACAATACTTTAACAAACAATATCGAGTAAGTCAAACATCATTAATAAATTCTCTCTAACTTTTACACATAAATTAGCATCATAATAGTTAATACAATGATATGACAAAAACCTCAAATAAATCAAACATCCCTTATAAATTTTCTTAATTTTTCAAGACAAATTAATGATATCAAACAATACTCTAATAAACAACCCCAAGAAAACGTACTCATTAGATAACCTTAAAGAAAAGCAAATAGTTAACAAGATTCTCAAAAGTAAAACCTCATAAGATCAACAAATTATTAGGTCCAATCACTGGACCTAAATTTTTGTCCGAATTCCCTGCACTTTTCATGTGCTTTTGATATATTTTAAAAAAGGATAACTAATACATAATTTTAATTGAATATTAGATGCTCTATTATTGCCCTTTTGAAAAGCACAACAAAAGGCAACAAATACTCAATGAGTAAGATATTTGTTGTATTTTTATTGTGCTTTTACTTTCATATTGCAATTACTCAATAAAAAAATAACTAATATAAAATTAAAATTATGTATTAACTATTTTTTTCAAAAAAGCATTATAACCATAATAAAAGCTCATGGAAAGCACAACAATGGTCACCTAATAATTTGCGCATAAAATCAAATAGAAAATAGGATCTTCTCTCTAACCCCAAAAGACCAGCCCATGAAATAGGCTCAAATGAAAGCTCCTCGTAATATAAATTTTATATACGCTCCTTCCATAAAAACATTCTTTAAAAAACTCTCTTATTGCTTTTTAAAATAACTTTTATTTAAAAATTTTCAAATTCAAAATTTTTATATTAAAATTTGCTTTCTAAAACAATGTAAAAGGCATCCAAGGACCGAAACAACGCCTTAATCCAAAAATATTAGCGTAGTCATTACCCATGTATTCAATTGATCCATTAGAAAATAACTTACAAGCACAATTATCGAAGTAAAGGCAGCTCCAAGTTTAGAAGATCTCCATCCTCACATTCTTGAACAATGAATGCGAATTCCACCCAAACCTGAAACTGTAATTCTAGCTCAAATCACGATCATCACGATCTTCCTTTCAGAATACAATTTTTAAGCAGGAAAAAAAGACAATTTTGCTTCGGAACACAGCAGAATTACAAGAAGATCCGAACAATTCACCAGTTGACAAGTTTGCAAACTGATAAACTGAAAAGAAGGAATTGATCGAGTAAACAGCCAGAATCTGGAACATTTAATCCCGTTCTCAAGCACTTTTAAACACGGTTCACCGGATCAACTTCAAAAACATAAAAAGAAAGCACAACTGGAAACAGCATCCCACAGGTAATCAATCGGTTGTATATTTATCTAAAAGATTGCAGAAGGGAGGAAAAAAAAAACATCCACAAACGATCATAATCATCCCTAAAGCATGCTAATTTCACATATTTTCTATAAATATTAACCAAGTAAACGTACCACATCAGTCTAACTAGTAATAGGTTTCAGATCCATAAACTAGCACATGCACATAAACTGTTACATGAATTGAGACTCAAAACGAAAGAGAGAAGTCATAGTCAAGAAAGAAAATTACATAATAATAATATACTGAGACCATCAATACGACCTAAGCGCGTTCTCCTCTGATACGGCGGGCAAGTTGGATGTCCTTGGGCATGATGGTAACACGTTTGGCGTGGATAGCGCACAGATTTGTGTCTTCAAAGAGACCAACGAGGTATGCCTCCGCTGCCTCCTGCAGAGCCAGCACGGCGTGGCTCTGGAAACGCAGATCCGTCTTGAAATCCTGTGCGATCTCACGAACAAGCCTCTGGAACGGCAGCTTTCGGATCAGCAGCTCGGTACTCTTCTGGTATTTGCGAATCTCTCTGGAAAACGAATTGAATCAAATCAGATCAAGTAAAAAAACGCCCTAAAAACGACTTTAAAAGCAACCAGTTACCTGAGAGCGACAGTTCCAGGGCGGTAACGATGGGGCTTCTTAACTCCTCCGGTGGTCGGAGCCGACTTCCTCGCAGCCTTCACGAATTCAAGGAAATAGAAGCATAGATGAGTGGCTATAAGATCTGGATTGATTACTTACTAGAACAATTGATAAAACTTAGGATACCTTGGTGGCCAACTGCTTTCGAGGAGCCTTGCCTCCGGTTGACTTTCGAGCAGTTTGCTTCGTACGAGCCATCGCCGGGTAGCAATTTCAGATTAGGGTTTCTAGTCTTCCTCTTTTGGGGCGACGAAAAACAGTAGAGAAATAAATGATAACGTTGTTGCGTCCGGCCTTTATATTTGATGACCGAAAGGAGGAAATAGGCAGAAGTCGGTTTGCTCGTGATCGAAGAGATCCGCTGCTGCTTATTTGATCGAACGACTAAGGATGGTTTTCTAAAAACACGTGATCCGTGTGTTACATTTTGATTGGTTGTCGAGCTATTGCCATGCACCTAACGTTCTCTTTTTTTGGTCTGGTGAGTTAATAGGAGGATTTTAATATTTTGGGTTTTACTTGCATATTTTCTAAAACTATTCATATATGATATATCTAATATCTAAGTTATACTATTTACTTTTATATCGCCTAAATAATATTTCTAACATCTAAAATACCACTCTATTACATTCCCGTCAAAACCCCACCCTGACTCCTACGAGCCCGATCCTTTTACCCCATGAAAGCTTCTTCGATGACTCATTTGCCTCTTATATACTCGTCCATCTAGTGTGAATAACCACACCCACGCCCCTGCCACTCTTTTATTTTTCTTTTGTTGAACCTGAGAAGTCCCTCTCGTGATCTACCTAAAGTGTGTTGCTTCTCCTCTCTCCATTTTTTTGCCTTCTATTGAACTGTGTTGTTGAAGTCCCGTCGTCGAACCTCCCCTCTAGTCCAAGGAAAATTTAGGCAATTTTCTATGTGAAATCAGTTAATATGTAAAATTGAAGTAAAAATAATGGTATTTTAGATGAAGAGAATGTTATTTATGTGGTATACAAGTAAATAGTGTTGTTTATGTGTTAGGTGTGTAAATATAATACTTTTATGTGTTATGTACATAAAAATCCCTAACAATTTTATTTATTGTTTTAGAAAGGTTTAATGTTCATAAGTTAGGCTAAGGATCTTCAAATATAATATTTTTCTGTTATTTGACCTTCTTTAGATTTGACTCTAATAGAGCATTACACTTAAGAACACAATAATGACAAAACTTCCAGATTTTGATCGGCATGGTTTTGAATCATTTAATGATCAGTTATCTAAGAATTATCATCGTCCATGAGTAGGGCTTGATAATCTCCAATAGGACCTTGGCTAGAGCAATCGCTTGTGTTGATGTCCATTATCTGATAGCCATGGGCATCGACGATGTCATTATCATCATCCATAATTATAGATGGATTAGCCTTCCGAACTTCTTAAATAAGAGCTTCTAAGGCTTTTAACTTTATGAGTCATATATTATACCTTTTGAGGTTTTTAGCCTTTAAAGTTTTAGGTGTACTTATATTTTTTTAGGTTATTAACCTCTTAAGATCTTTGATATACATGTACCTTATAAGGCTTTTAGCCTTCACAAATCTTTTAATATTCATGTACCTTTTAAGGTTTTTAACCTTCTAAGGTCATTGATGAGTGGTGATCATGTCAACTACATGCTCTTATGAAGTCTTTCTAATGAGGACCCTGTCCACTATTAGCTTCTCTTCAAGGCTACCTCATGGGCATGCCTTATTGGGCTATTTATTAGAGCATTATTCGATGTTGTTAATTAATATTAAGAAGGTTGGAAAAATCCATAAAGAATGTTTAACCTATCCAAGGTTATTTGTCAAAGTATTACTTGATGACGTTAACATATATGAAAGAGGCTGAGAGAATCCCCTGAGGATGTTTGACCTATCCAAGGTTGTTTGTTAGAGCGTTGTTTAATAGCGCTGACCTTTGTGGAAGAGGTTGATAGAATCAACCAAGGATATTTGACCTATCAAAAGTTTATTTGTAAGAGTGTTGCTCGATGACTTTAATCATTGTTGAAGAGATTAAGAGAATATGCCTATTATGCTTGACTTATCTGATATTATTTATGAGAGCATTGCTTAATAATGTTAAACTTTATGAAATAGGCCGAATCAAATCCCCCTGGAGTCGATTATACCTTAATTAAGAGGGGTGAATGACGAATGTATCCCAAATCAAAGATGAATATTGGTTTATCTTTAGACAATTACTTTTTTTTAGAGGTAGAGGTTATGACTACGCCCAAGGAGTAAAAGTCTAGCTAGGGATTATATAGAGCTTGAAATTTACTTAAAGAATCCTTGCACTTGTTAAGAACTTTATAAAAGATGATTATCAATGATATTATCTTAGATGTTGAAAATATTGGAAGAATTTTTTTTTATCACAATTGCAATTAAGGTTGACCCCCACAGTCTACATCTAATTTGTTATAACAAAGGTTATCCCCAGCTAAAAATCATTTCCCACAAACGATGTCAAATTATTCCATTCTGAAAAATTCGGGATATTAGAGAGATATAAAGTTCAACATCCTAGGTTTGTAAAAAAATTCAGAACACAAACTGAGAAGAGAGAGACAGGTGCAACGGTTAGGGGTGTTAATATTTGACACGACCCAAAAATCAGACACATAAAATTTGAGTTTGGGTTGACCCGAACCAGAACCAGGTTAACTTCGGTTAGGATTTTCGACCCGTTTCAAAAATCATCTCAGGTTTGAGTTGACCTGAAAACAAGATAATTACCCGAATTGACCCGCTGCCTGCATGACTGTAGCTGACCACAACTACCTAGGCCCAATCACATGTCATGACTCATGCATTGCATCCGCGTCCACTTCGATCTGCTCGTTGCGGTGTGTCCCTGACCAGCCTACACCCCGAGTCGTGTCCCTACTGCCGCGTCGCATCCCTATTGCAGTGTTGCGTCCCAAGATACGAAGTTGTCGGCTGTCCCTTGATTCGATTAAGGATTGATAAATATGGAGAAGATCAAGTGCATGTTGGGAGTGTTCTATCAAACGATTGATATTCTCTTGCTCATAAAGCATTTATCAGTCATTTAAGTTCCTTAATGATTTCAAAATTTGTTAGGCTTGTTGGATTCTTCTTGTCGAGCCACTCGATTCGACTATAAGCATGTCATATTTAGATATTATTTGGTCATTCAATTAATGGTTTAAAGCTTTGAAGAGTGTTTTAATCATTTGATTTGGGCTCGTTTGAGCTTGGATTGAACTTATTTTAATGTCATTTGGTTCGTCTTCTCCAAATATTCAATTTGACTATAAGCTTGTTGAAAATAAAGTTTGGATGGTCCCAAAATTAATTATGGAAGTTTCCAATTTATATTTGCACAGAGATTTATGTGAGATCAAAGCGGTTTTTTAAGACGTATCAAAACAAATAAAAAAAAACTTTGAAATACAAATAAAAGAGTGATATGTACTTCTAATGCTTCATGCCAAACAATTTCTTAATAATAAGAATATATTAGAGTAATAAAATATATTATTTATAACTGAAAATAAACCTAATTTTGATAGCATGTAATTCACCTAGAGACCCATATAATAAGCAACTGCTAATACCTAATATGGGGTAGAAAATAAAGAGCAAATAAGGATAATATCGTTTGTCCATAAATTAAAAACTTTATGTAAGAAAAAATAACTTACACAGCTCACCTTGGCCTGTTGGTTGAGAGCTTATGCTTCTAACTAAGAGGTCTTGGGTTCGAGTCTTTATGTATGCATTGTGTGTGTGTTTGCCTTAAAAAAAAATAACTTCAGGTTCATTCATCCTTTAGCTTATCATAATTTTAAGTAGAGAAACATATCTTACTGTTCGCTGCCTTCAAGGCTCTGTTGCCCAACCAAAATTGATAAAGATTCATGCTACTCATAGATAATATATATATATTATCTTGGTCGGGCACAAATCTCGAGGTAAAATCAAGTTGGAAACTTTTGAAATTAAATTTGGGACTATTTGAACTCCGATTTCATCACACTTACAGTCGAACCAAATGACTTGAAAATATGAACCCAACGACACCAAATTCGCCTCAATCCGAGCCTCAATGGGTCTAAATTAAATCAAAGACTCGAAGCACATTTGAAAAGTTCAAATCATAAATTGGATGACCAAATTATTTCCAAAAGTGACATGCTTATAGTCGAATCGAGCGGCTCAACAAGGCGAATGCAATGAGCCTAAGTTCGGCCGTACATTCAAATCACTCCCAACTTACTATTGACTCTCTTTTATTTACTCTTAGAAAACTATAAATTTACCCCTCATTCTTCATGAGAAGGGGACTCAAGTAAGGAATATAGGAAATAGAGAGAAATTATAGTTATATTGATATCAGACTCCTAGACCACCGTCGTACCATCGACTAAAGCCAAACTTCTACCCGGCCACTGGCTGATGCCATATTTTCTCTCGACCACCGACTAATGCCAGACTTCAGCCTGACCACTAACTGATGTCGGATTTCCGCCCGATCACCGAACTTCACCAGATTTTCATCCGAACTCCATTCGTCACTAGATTTCAACCAGACGGTTGACTATTGTAATTTAATCGTCCTTCATTTCAAGGACTGATCAGTCACTTAGAATATATTCAAACACTAGTGGAATCATTTCAAATGTGTATGACCTCATGATTTTTCCCTTTAGGATTTTTCACATACAAAAATCTGGTCTTTCTTTTTCTTTTGTTTGTGTACTTAATACTCGTGTAACACTAAGTTTCTATTCAAGCCTTTTAAAATAAATTTATAGTATAAAATTTTAATTTTTAACTAAAAAATTTATTTAAAAAGCAATAAAAAAACTCTAATCTCGCCGTACGTCGTTTTTGATCTTCCTCCCCCTCGCGGGCTGTCAATCGTCGCCCGCTTTCTTCACTCAACAAAAACAGCCAACACTTCATCTTCATTGCTACCGTTGTGTGACCAACATGATTCTGTTCGCCCGACGGAAACTCCCATTGCCAATCCCACTGCAGTATCTCGTCTGCAAAGCCGTTCTCTCACCCCAACCCTTCCAAAACCCTAACCCTAGCCCTTGCGCTAAAACCTCCCCTTTCTCCACCCAGTCCTCCAAATTCCCCGAGTACGAGATGCCGTCCGTCACCTGGGGGGTGGTCCAGGGTCGCAAGGAGCGACTCGTATCCCGCGTCATCATCTCTGACTATCTAAAGTCCATAGGCGTCATCCCCAACGAGCTGGAGCATCTCGAGCTCCCTTCCACCGTTGAAGTAATGCGTGGCCGCGTCGAGTTTCTCCAGCGCCTCGGACTTACCGTGGACGACATGAACGAATATCCCCTTATGCTGGCCTGCAGCGTCCGGAAAAACATGATCCCAGTCCTCGGCTACCTCGAAAAGATTGGCATCAGCCGCTCCAAGCTCGGAGAGTTCGTTCGAAACTACCCCCAAGTTCTCCATGCTAGCGTCGTCGTCGAGCTTGTACCCGTCATAAAGTTCCTACGCGGCCTCGATGTTGAGCGCCACGATATCCCTTACGTTCTCCAGCGCTACCCAGAGCTGCTCGGTTTCAAACTCGAGGGCACCATGAGCACTTCGGTCGCTTATCTCGTCAGTATCGGCGTCTGGCCGAGGGACATCGGCCCCATGGTGACTCAATACCCTTATTTACTTGGCATGCGAGTTGGAACCACCATCAAACCTCTAGTCGAATACATAATATCCCTCGGAGTTCCCAAGAGGATTCTTTGCAGAATGCTTGAGAAGAGGACGTATATTCTTGGGTATGATCTTGAAGAGACCGTGAAGCCCAACGTTCATACTCTACTCAGCTTTAGTGTGCGGCTGGAGGCCCTGCCATCCTTGATTGCCCAATATCCGCAGATTCTTGGGTTGCCTGTAAAGGCTAAGTTGTCGACCCAGCAATACTTTTTCAGCTTGAAGCTTAAGATAGACCCTGAAGGATTTGCTCGAGCTTTGGAGAAGATGCCTCAGATTATTAGTCTCGCTCAGAATGTTATTATGAAGCCGGTGGATTTCCTCAGGGGTAGAGCCATTCCTGATGAGGATGTTGCCAGGATGATTGTGAAGTGTCCCCAACTGCTCGCATGCAGTGTTGTGCTGATGAAGAATAGTTACTATTTCTTCAAGAGTGAAATGAAGAGACCGATGAAGGAGCTATTTGAATTTCCGGAGTATTTCACCTACAGTTTGGAGTCAAGAATTAAGCCGAGGTATCACAAATTGGCTAGCAAGGGGATTAGGTGCAGTTTGGCTTGGCTTTTGAATTGCAGCGATCGGAGGTTTGAGGAGAGATTACGGGCTGATTACATTGAAGAAGATACCGCAGGACCTTCTTTCCTTATGGGCGGAAAGTTAGAGATGCCTGGGAGTTATCTGGTATCTGAGCAGGAAGATAGTGACAGTGACAATGAAGTACTTTACAGGAGGACTGTTTCTCTGTAACATATTTATTTGCACTTGTGGCTTCTTTGGCGGCTATTGAAGGTCAGCTTTTGAATTTATGTTTCTCAATAGTCTCTCACTACGAATGCCTTAAAGTGCCTACCTTATGGCAATCCCTTCATTTAGTTTGGGATGTGAATCATCACTGTCAATCTTCTTTAACTGTTCTTTCATTTTATTTTGGATTTTCAACCATAATAGCAAGAATCATATGCATTGATGCTATTGATTAAAATCTATCATCACTTTTTTGTTCTAGTGGTTTACACAGATTTCGTAACTATGCTCACCAAACCCGAGCCTTTCACCACCTTCCGCCATGTTAAAGGTTGCCGTCAACTTAACAGATGTTAGACCGTTAAATATCAGGTTTTAGCTTTCGAGCTATCCTCTCTACCTTACTTTTTCTATTTCATCTACTTCTATCCACGATTTCCATTCCACTTGTATCTTTCTCTCAAAATTTTTATAAGTTGTAAGGTATCGTTGCGTCATGTTTTATTTAAATTGTTTGTTGTTGTCGTCCCTTTTATTTAAAGTTGTAAGGTGTGTCTTTATTTATAATAGTATTATTATGTTTATGATAAGGAAGACTTGAGTTTGCAATAATTGTTTTTTTTATTGCATCAGGAGTAAAGAGTAAGATTGGTATCAAATATATACTAAAATATTTTCCAAGAAAATAACAAGGTGGAGATTGGAGAACGAATGATCTTTCTCTTTTTTTCAACCAACCTCCAAGCAAAAGCATAAAAAAGTGGGATTCGAGCCCTAGGCCTTGGACTCTAACTCCTAGTTTTTTGATGTTGCATAGGTTAAGAAGCCTTGATTCCTCTCTGCTCTCATATTCTCATAACCAATCTTCTATCTAGAGAGAAACAACCAAACTAAAATCTCTCACTCTTGAATGCTTGCCCGCTTGTCTCCACCGAAAAATGCTCAATGTAGCAATATGTGTAGTTAAGAAGAGGAAAATTACCAAAACACCCTTATAATCTCAAACAAGATATAATCTCTAATAGTTATGCTAGTGTGTATGCATCACATGTGCTGTGGAATTTTTGAATTGTTTAAGAAAAAAATATTAGCGGAGTCATAAAATAGTGTATCCGACATGACATGTTAGAATTGAGACTTCAAAGTTATCATGATATTTGAATAGCACAACAAATATGTAGGAATGCTTATGCCTCGACGCCTCGTAGTATGAATGAGGCGTAGAGAATTAAATATCCCCACGAGATGTGGTGGAATAATAGAGTTAATTATATAAATTAATTTTTATTAATTTTTTAGCTATTACGATTGAGGTGTTTAATCTAGAAGAAGGCTGGATTCTATTATAGAAGCAAGCCATTGATGGTTGGATTTACCTCATACTGTTTGGAGTGAATGATGGTGATTTGGTTGAGAGATTTTGACTAGCTTTGTTGTGGCATAATGTATTGTTGTAGCCATGGCTGTAGTAGAGGTTCCATTTTCACCTCTCCACAAGGTGATGATCATATGTGGATGGTAAGATTGCCACAGAATTGTTGGAGGCGAGTAGTGGGCAATGATTTGGTAAGGATGTTTGTTGGTTGATCTTTAAACAAGATGTGATGAACTTAGATGAGGTTGATTTACTGCAATCTGTAGTTTCTCGATGTGTTTGGTTTGGGTGTGGAAAACCATATTGTTTGATGTTGTTGAGATGCTATCACAATGGAGGGTGTAGGTTGCAGTAGATAAATGCCAAATTAATGCAAAAAATCAATGAAACTAGATTGCATCCTTTTAGTAGCATGGTATTTAACTTTTGTAAAGGAACAAGCTACTCTAATTTATTTCTTTACGCACCATGAAATTAGTGTAGAGCCAAGGTGTCGTGGCCCGTTGTGGATTTGTAGTCAGTTGTGTCGCCACCCCAATTGGTTTCTAGGTATTTGTGAAGTATTAGACAATTGTGGTTGATAGGGATGCCTAGGTTAAGCATGTCTTGCATGTGGTGGAGCAATCATTTGAGATTGGGGAAGTGTTGGTTGATAGGTTTATGCATATGTTGATAGAGTTTATTAATGCAAAAGTCTATGTCTGGTCCTATGACAATTAAGCACTAAAGGGAACCAACAAGGGTGCGATAGAGTTCTAGCCTATTGAAGGCCTCTTCAAGCAAGGCTACAATTGGTGTTTTGGTGAGTGTAGTTTCCATTGGTTTACATGTAGACATGCCAATTCATCAACTCTTTGGAATATCAGGTTTGGTTGAGGTGAATTCCAGTGAGGGTGTGGCATACTTGAATGCCTAGGAAGTGTGAGATGGTGCCAAGGTTGCACATATGGAATTGTTTGTGGAGTTTGGAAAGTGATCATAAATGAGGGGTGGGTTGTTGTCTTTGAGAAGAATATCATTGTTGTGAATGAGGATGGATATGAGGGCGCTGTTGTAGGTGTATATGAGAGTGAAGGTTCTACCAAGCTGGTGAAAAAACCAATCTATTGAAGGTGTTCATGAATCATTTCAAACCATTGCCGAGGTGGTTGCTTAAAGCCATAGATCGCCTTTTTGATGAGATGTGGTGTGGCCCTGGAGGGTCTTGAAAGCCTGGTGATTGAGTCATTTACACAGTTTCATTGAATTTGCTGTGAAGGAACTCAATGAATACATGTAATTATGCTATTTTCTATTCATGGTGGAGTGCAACGACAAGACGAATACAAATTGTTGGTATTTTTGCAACGGGATTGAATGTCTTGGCGTAGCCTTATGAATTGTTTGCATCCTTGAGTGACTTGACGAGCTTTGTGTCTTGCTACAGTTCCATCCGTGTGTAGCTTGAGTTTGAAGGTTCACTTGTTAGTTGTTACCATGGATATTATTTTTAGGATCCAAGAGAATAAGTGTTTGTGTGTCGTGTGATTGGAGGGCATAAAACTCGTTCGATGTTGCTTTGTCTAGTTGCCATCTTTGGTGACCATGGTGTAGCTGGTGGGTTCAAGGATGGGCATGCCAGTATGGATGAGGTTGAGGATTCTTTTGGATTTTAGTGTTCCGGTTTTGGATTTGGTTTCCATGGGATGACTAGTTTCGGGTGGAGGATAATTGGATGTGGTATGGTATTTAAGATGGGCACATGTGGTGGGAGAGATGATGGGATTTAGAGAGTTTATTGTCAATGGATCAAGTTGGTGATTGGAGTGGAGATATAAAGGTGGTGAACAAAGGAGGCCTAAGATAATTCTTTGATATACCTAATGATGGCAACAAATGAAGGGGAAGTATATGACTATTGATTAGTGGATGTGGTGATTAATTGATAAAAGGGAAAGATAGTTTTGTTGAATTTAACATTCCTTGAAAGAATGATTTTGTTGGTGAGAGTGTTAAATAATTTATTTTCTTGTTTGCCGAGGTTTATGTTAGAGATACATGATATGAATTTTGGAGCAAGTTTATTGTTGGAGTGAGGCGGGAGCATGGGATAGCATTGGCATCCACAGGGTCAAAGGTGAGCATAGAAATATAGCAATTGCTATGGATTATTCTTTATTGGATATAGTAGACAGTTTATCAGGTATGATGTTGCAAGAAGGGCGTTGACCCATAGTTTTTGTGGTAGCTGAGCTTGTGAGAAGTGTTTGGATGGTTTCACTTAGGCATTTACATTTGCTTCCAAAAATATCGTTTTGCTCGCGAGTGTGCGAGTAGCTAAGATTGTGTATAAATCCATTGAATTTGATAAGGGATTAGAAGTTTGTACTAGTTTGTTCACCTTGCTTGTTAGAGCGAAGGGTTTTTATAGGATTGTTGAATCAATGTTCAACTTTTTGCTCGAAAATGATCAAATGAGAGTTTTTTATTTTATTCTAACGGTACATACCTAGCATTATATAGAAAAGTTTCCGAAAATAAGCTATAATATTTGTATCATTGATTTGAAATTATTGGTATAGTATATTAGTTCTAGGTGATGTAAGCTGTGAGAACAATATTTAGGAAATGGTAAACGATGGCTCTTGGCCGTCTTATGTGAAGTAAAGGGCAGAAAAGAAGAGGAAAAATTGTGTAATATTTGATTGCTTTGTAGTCGTAGTAAGAAGATAGTGGCTTGGCTCACCCGGACTATACATACGTTGGGGCATTGCTAGTTACCAAGGTAGTTTCAAATTTTAGGGAATGAGAATTTGGTGGTTGGCGGATTGGATACAGGCCATTGGGGTAGGGACCGTAGAAACAACATTGGTTGGTTTGAGGGTCGTTTGTTGTGCAGCTGTGGATAGCAAAAGAGATAGAGTAGTTATTGGCAGTTGCTAATTAATTACTGAACCGAAGATTGTAATGAAGATCAGGGAAATGAAGGAATTGAGAGAGGATAAGCTTATGGTTTGGAGTTGGTAGTAGGTCATAACCTTTGTGAAAGATTGTTGATTTTCAAGGGTGAATTGCTGATTGTCGTTGTGGATAGAGGTGTTGGATTGCTGACTTTGGTTGGGTGCAAGGTGCGACGTGGCATTGATATGTAGGTACTAGTCGTGTTTGTAAGGAAGCTTGTGGGGGAAAAGTTAGTTCGTATTGAAGGTTGGTGCAGTGGTAGTACTTAGCAACAAAGTGATTGAGTTTGCTGTAAATTTGACGTATGAAAGATCGCTGCCATTTTCAACCTCCTTAGAAGGGGGAAGTTGCTATGAAGATCTGTTGAGAAAATGTTTGACGAATGTTGACCTCTGGATTATGGCCAAATGAAACAAAAATGAAGTGAAATACACATCATACCTTATCCGACGGATCCACGAAACCTGCCGAACTTCTCCACGAATTCCGCTCAAATCCCGCTGAATTCCTGCCGATTCGGCGCCGTTTGCGTCACCTCCCGAGAATCTTGTGACTTATCTCGATCGGACCTCACCCGCGTCGTTAAATACCAGAGCAAATGGAGCCTTCAGTCGCTCCTTCTTCCACACATGTGAAACCTCTGCTCCCGTCGCCTCCTAGCTGCCAAAGCCAGTCTCTGCCTCCCGATTTCTCCAATCCAGAGAGAGAGAGAGAGAAGGAATGCTTTACCTGAGCCGATCTCCACTGCCGACGCCTCCATCCCGCCGCCTCTGCTCTCTCCCAGTCTCCAAGTCACCGAACTCCTCAAGCCCTACCCGAACTCCACTTCCCATAGTCGCCTTCTCCGTCGGCGTTCCTTCTGAATCGGAAGTTTATTATATTTTTAAATTAAAATTAATTAAAAATTAATTATTTATAATTAATTAATGTTATTTATAATTAATTACTCTAATTAATTATAATAACTTATAATTAATTATAATTAATTAGGAGCCATTTTAATTTTATAATTAATTAGGAGCCATTTTAATTTTATAATTAATTAGGAGCCATTCTCTTAAACGGGTGAGACGTCGGGAGGCTGCCGAAATTTCGGGTGAACATAAGACCGTACTTGGGCATTATTTGGACATGCATTTGAACACTATATGATTTATAAGATACTTGAATTTAAATAAATTTGAACATGAAATGAATTCTAATGCAAGCAAGGATTTGAACAAAAGAAGGAGACCTATTTGAACATTAACAGGGACTTTTTGAACTTGACTTGGACTCAAATTTATGGACTTGAGCATGAACTACAAGAGCTTGTACTTGAACATGAGCTCGGACTCAAGCTGAATTGAACTCGAACTGAAGTGAACTTGAATGTGGATCGAAGCTGACAAGAACAAGCGATGAAATTGAACTCAACTTGAACTAATGGAGACCTAAATGAACTTAAATTCAAATGAATTTAATTTTTTTTTTTTATAAATCTTGAACTTGTAAATGAATTAAACGAAGACTTGGGTTAGAACATGATCTTGAACTCAAAAGACAACAAAGGAGTTGACTTGAACAATTTGAGCAAGAACTTGAGTTTGAACATACACTGGACTTGAATTGAGTTTGAACTTATACAAGAGGATTTGACATGCAATGAACTAGCATAATGACTTATCAACAATCATAACAATGAATACAATATATCTACAAGCAAAGTGAAGGAGTTGCAAGGAAGATAATTTGCCTACTATCAACAACAGCTAAATGTGCAGATGTTTTGCATATACATGCAACAATTCTTAAGAATGCTAAAAAGATATGCAAACAAGGAACCCAATGTCATTTGTAAGCACATCATACAAAAATGACAATGATTGGAAAGTATATGCAGTTTGATTCTGAGCACATGGTGACGAGCAAACTTATCATGCAAGCCATGAGTTACTTCCAAGGGCAGTAAGATACTAACAAACTCTACTTGCTTATAAGTAGTGATGGATTATGGACGACGTAACATCCTCCCCACAAGCGGTGTTAGTTATCTTGCAAATGTATACAACTGTCCTTTTATAAGCAACTATAGGAGACTTATGAGTGTCCATGAAAGATAATGAAATGCATATATGTGAATATGACAACTTGCTAGCCAAAGCATACAAGAAAATCAACAATATTTAGAAGGATTCAATGTATAATGAATGCAACAATGTTTTAAAATCAACGATACAAGCCCACCATGCTGACTACAAGCAAATACAAAAAAAGTTCTCACTCATGTAGTAGTCCACTCATAGGTGATAAAGATTAATGTGTATTGGATGCTAAATAGTCCTTACAGTTGATAACCACTCATCATTAGTCAAATATATTAGCCTTCTACAAGCAAGGATCAAAGATCTGCAACACTCATACGAGCAGACAGAAGGCGTCCACAAAACTACAATACTACGCCACCGGATCCGCAACTTCCATACAAGCGGACAGAAAGCATCTACAAGTACTTTCAAAGTACCACCACACGTGCACCGTAGTTTGTATACACATAGGTACACTAAAAGGGGTAAAAGCAATCATGAAACCCGCAAGGGCCCCGGCGAGCGTATTATTGGTACACACGTGACGTTTAGGGATGCTGCCTGGATTATTAAATTTAAACCCGATCCTCCTAGGCAGGTAAAAGGAGTAGACAGGATATAAATATAAAATGCCCCAAACACCTGCATGGCCCCGGAGAACGTGTTATTGGTACGCACGTGACGTCTAGGGATGCTGCGCGGGTTGCTAAGTGAATTCAAGTTCGAACCCGATCCTTCTATACGGGTCAATAGAAGTCGACAGGGTTTGAACAATCAAACAAGTATACGGTGATGGCGACCGCCGACCGGTATATTTGTTTTATTTCATTCATATTAGGCCATCAAGGCCTATAATAATGAGAATTCACTAACAAAGGCATAAAACCTATGAAACCCGATCCTCTGTCGGCAAACTAACAGAGTTGACAAGATTCAATCAACAAAGGGAAAATGACCCCAAACACCCCAATGATGGCCGTATTGAATGCAGATCACAACCGGAGGGGTTCACAAATATCTCTAAGATGCCACCCAAATGTCCATTACAAATACTTCAAATGTCATCCCAAATGTCCCCAAAAACCCAAAAATCTCAATCCCAAAAATATTTGAAAATGAAATTCAATCCATCAATCACTTAAAGCAAACTTCATCCACCATCTGCAACAGTTTGTCAATATGGACAAATTAAATTTTACTTCAGCTCACAAAGATCCAAATGCCTAGTCAAAAATATCACTAGGATCCATTCTCAAACAATCTCCTGTCAATAAGGACGTGATACGTGTCCTCTAACCGGCGGTTTTGCCGCCAAATGGCACCGCAGAATAAACAGTTATGACTCGGGGCCCTGTGAACCGAGTGGTTTTGCCGCCAAATGGCACCACGAAATACCGGTTATGGCCAGAGCCAATACGCTCTTTAATGGCATCAAATCCTTGAGACATGAGTCAATAGGATATGATTGATAGGGCACAAAGCCCTCTGTTAGCTAAGGTGGATTTAAATTTGTCCCCTTGACAAACATTCACCCCAGGTCTACTAGTTCCCCTTGGACGAAGCAACCCATGACTGCCGACAAGGATCCTTCTGTCAGGTTAGGTCGACTACCTCCTATGACTAAGTAGACCATGGACCATGATGGCCCGGGACGACGGAACCATGGGATCTTGATCGGGTCTATCATCCATTCCCCCACCGGCTACTTTAAGTGCAAGATGGTGTAATTTCTATTTTAAATATCAAAATTTTCAAATACCCAAATTCAAACCCAATTTCCAAATCCAAATCCATGCTGCTTCTATGCCAGATAACGTGTATCTTTATGTATCTGATTGACGACTAGCCTTAATCGAAAGTTCTCTCTCGTTATCGGGAGGGGTAATTAACTATAGGGGCTTGCGCCTATAGGAAACCAAAACTCAGATCGTAAAGTCTTCACAAAATGAGGGCGAAATCTCTGGGTACTGTCTTATCTACAATCCATTTGCCTTCCAAAATTTACCCCGGAACTTATTCTGTTAAAACTCCCTCGCCAAAAGAAAAAAAATAACAGTCGCGCGGGCGGAGGTCGGGGCCTAATTTTCGGAGCCCACAATGAGCTCCGCCTGGGGTTGCTCAAGGGCAAGAGCGCCTGCACCCACAGGTTACTATGAGAAAATTTTTTGAGTAATAGACGGGAAAGGCATGCATTTGTTTGGCAGCATTGCTGGCTAAATTTGTTTCTTTGTTGCAGTGAAGGGAATAAAAGTTGTTGAGGCTGATGGGTTGAAGAGTGGTTTGAATAGTGGTTTTGAAGGCATTGCAGTTAGGTGTTAAGCCTTTAAGGGTATAGATCATGATGTCCTCGTGATCTAGAGAGACTTCAATGGTTACAATAGAGTTGATTTTGGCTTTGATTGTAGGGAGGTATTGGTTCATAGTTTAGGTACCCATAGAGTATGTTGCATATTTTTGAGTTTCAAGAGATGGGATTTCTTGGATGATTGTAGTTTCTTGTGGACAGTGTTCAAGATGTTGTCATGGGTTTGGAGGGTGAGAACATAGTTGAGAGAGAGAGAGGCTGAAATGGCAGAGAGGATGGTTGTTACAAGATTTTAATCCACAAGTAGGCAGGTGGCATGGTGAGGGATGGGGAAGGAGGTCACGATTGTCAACAATGGTTGATGCAAGTGTTGGGACCATTTTTCCAAAAAATCCTTGGAACCTGTGAGTACCACATGGGGTGGTTGTCGGTGGTTAGTTGGGTTGTGCCAATGTTTTTGAGGTTGGACATGAGAAATTTAAGTTGTGGTAGGATGGGATTACATACCATTTGGGAGATAGTTTTCACGTCTTTAGGAGAGGTTAGAGTCTGTCATTGGTTTGCTAGACGGGACAATAGGGAGAATGGCTATCATAAGGTTCTTGGAGCTCTGATTGCAAAGCATATGATCGTCAAGTGTGAAAGCTTCTGAAAACTTCAACATGTTTGCCTCCGATGCCTGTTTTTCTGTCCTTTGCTAAGTTTCTAACTAGCAAATTCATTGTGTATGATTCAGTTATGATTCTTTAAACAAAATATTATAATCTATATATGATTGGAGTTCTAATTGAAGCTATAGAGTTCTACTTAGCCAACTTGGCTTATGAAAATCTGACACATCACTAATTCCCGTGCAAAGAGATATCTCAGAATTTCATTCATATCCAATAAATTCAATTCATATTGTTGTTTTGGCATATTCAAATTGCTTTAAATTCCTACATTACACATTCATGCATTCAATTAGCGAACCAGGTTTGTTTTGTTAAATGTTCCATCCCTCAACTTTTTTCTTCCAGACATCGCGTTTGAGGAATAATGTTTGTCATCTTTATGCTAATAGTTTAATGTGATGTATTCATTACAAAATTCATGTGTTTAAATGCTGATTACGTGACCTTTATCTTCTTCTGTAATTTAATTATGTGTTACCGTGTATCTGCATTCTCTTGGGCCAGAAAATTAGGATCCTGTAATTAGGCTGCTATCTTCCACATTTTGATGGGATCATCTTTTTCCTGATAAACTTTCCTTTGCATAATATTTACTGATTCTTCTACAGTTTTTTATGCTGTAGTTGCCATGGATGCAATCAGTGCCGGCACTACGAGCTCCTTCTGCATAATGCCCTGTAATGTCATCTTAGATTCAGCTTGCCGGCAATGTTGGATGAGTTCCTGGCCATAAGGTGGCGGGTCTCATTTCAACACCTTGGAGGAAGGACCGGAGAAAAATGATCCCTCGTCTCACTTCCTGTTTGTGGTTTTCTTTAATTTTGGTCCTAGTGGAAGAGGCTCTAACAGTGAGAATCTTTGAGTAGAGAAAGAAGGCTTGAAGGAGGACATGCCAGAAAGACAAATAACAGGTATTAAAACAAAGCTAGTCACACTAACACTGTTATATATTTTGTTATCATTAAATTTAAGCATGTTTTTTATTTGGAAGAGGATGTGTCAGAAGGGAAATAATATGTAATAAAGCAAAGCTAGTTATTTGTTTTCATTAAATTTAAGGCTGTTAGTTTCTAGTAATTTAGTTATTATTTTATCATACATGATTAGTACTGATTTATCTTTGGAAGAGGAAGTGTCAGAATGAGAAATGACATGTATTAAAGCAAAGCTAGTTAGACTTTTATTTTGTTTTCATTAAATTTAAGCGTGTTAGTTTCTAGTAATTTAGTTATTATTGTATCAACATGATTAGTACAAACTTATCTAAGGATTCTGATCAAATTTCATGATTTGTATTTGAAAGCAGTCTTGTTACAAGTATTTGGTAATAGGCCAATTAAGTGGAAAAAATCCGGTCAGTATTTTAGATTGTTGACCTGAGTTTTCCTCTTACTCCTTAGGAAATTACTTATCGAACCCCATTTAGTTTTCACAATTGAATCCTCATTTGCAATTTTTTTCTTTAGTTATTTTATATAATTTCATCTTGTTAAAAATTGAAACTGCTCTAATAGAACAAAATGTTAATATAGGAATTACGTGAGAGAGTGTATCTCTGCATGTTTATTGCACATTAAATTACTGAAATGGGTTCATATATAAATCTTCTTTATTGGTTAAATTAATTCACAATCATTATTGCATATACTAAATGCATCTCGCATGTTAGAACATTTGTGTGTGTTTTTGGCAATCCAGAGCCGAGCCATGTACATAATTTAGTAACAAAAAACAATGCCAACTTACCTTGATAGCTTTCACCCTTAGACTCCACTCAGTTGAGTTGTAAGTTGTATGATTAGAATATGATATCTAAGATTTTTTTGGACTCAGACATTTTGTAGAAGGCAGATTTTATTTCAAGTGAATAAAGCATCAACAACAACAACAAGCCTTTATCCCACTGTGGGGTTCGCTACATGAATTCATTTCTCCATGATGTCCTGTTAAGAGTCAAATTCTCATTTAAATCTAATAAAGAAAGATCATTTTTAATATTTTTAAACCAAGTATTTTTAGGGCTACTTCTACCTTTCTTAACATAAGTCAAATCTAATACATATATTTTTATAATCGGGTCATCGGAAGGCCGCCGTTTTATGTGACTAAACCATCTAAAGCGACTCTCTCTAATCCTATCTTCCATTGGAGCTACTCCAACCTTTTTCATGTATATGCTTATTTCGTATCCCGTCTCTAAGAGTAAAGTCACTCATCCATCTGAGCATCCTCATTTTTGTAACACTTAACTTAATATTATGCTTATCTTTTAATGGCCAAAATTTTGCACCATAAAGCATTGCATGTGATGAGGACATCGGAAGATCAACGGCTACGATCTGGAGTTTTTTTTTTTTTTTTTCTGTTTTTACATTTTACCCCTAGGGGTGGTCATGTGGTGTTGTAGCCCGAAGGGCGTTTTAGTCTTTATTTCTTTTCTTTTTATGAGGCATATTTATAGGCTAGCTCACTTGTAACTTGTGAGCATTAGAGAGAAGGGAGAGAGAGAGCTCAAGGTGAGCAAGCGCAATGTCACGACCCAACCCGACCGGGACGGGTACCGCTCGCATCGGGTCGTGATCTGTGCTCAAAACTGATAGAACTGATTCCAGGATCTGGCTTTGGAATTTGTTTCAGAATTTTCTTCCAAAAATACAGACAGAAACAGATGCACACAGAGCTACTATAAACATCAAATGCAGCGGAACAGATCATCTATTTTTTTTCTTTTCCTCAAAA